TGAGGTCCCTTTTGGGACTCCTAAGGATCAAAACAAGCTGGGATTCAGGCGTTGACGGGAACAAGTGAGGCGTTTGCTGTTTATTTATTTATTTATTTTATTACTGCGCTTGTATACCGCCATTTCTCAGCCTACATTGACGACTCAACGCGGTTTACAACACTACAATAATCAACAATATTCAAGATAAAAAGCATAAAAACACATACATAATATACAATATTGGGCCACCAATATCAAACCAATGCATCTCTTAGTTAAAAACGCAGTGCAATTTCATCGTCTGTGATTACCAGTCCTTGATCGTCAGATTCGTTGCACTGTGTTAACTGAATGCTTGTTCGAACATCCATGTCTTCAGTCTTTTTCGAAACGCCACCAGCGAGGGGGCTGACTGCAGCGGGGTGTGGAGTGGGTCGTGGGGGCTCCGTGTGCTAAGTTTGGTCATTGGTTGAGGGCGGCAGTGGTTTCAGTGAGCGAGTCGAGGTGGTCTCAGGAAGTGAGCAGAGGTACTGCAAGTCCCGTCATCCATCTCCAAATTTTTCCAAACAACACCGGGACGTAACGTGGGCCACGAGAGGTCTGCGTGCCAAGTTTGGTCTCGATCCGTCATCGGATGAGGTTTGCGGAGGTCTCGGAATGTGAGCGAAGGTACTGGAAGTTCCATCATCCGTGGTCCACCCTTCTCCAAAACTGCAGCAGGATGTAGAGTGGGTCACGGGGGCTCTGTGTGCCGACTTTGGTCTCGATTGGTCATTAGAGGAGCTTTGCAGCAGTCTTGGGGAGTGGAGGTACTCGAAGTCCCATCATCCACGGTCTGTCCCCCTCCGAACCGCACCGGGAAGTTGAGTGGGTCACCGAAGCTCCGTGTGCCAAGTGTAGTCTCGATTAGTCATTGGCGAGGGTCTCGGTGGTCTCGGGAAGCGAGCGAAGTGACTGCAAGTCCCCATCATCCATTGTCGAATTCCTCCAAACCGCACCAGGATGTAGAGTGGGTCATGCTGGGTCTCTGTGTAAATTGTGGTCCTGATCCATCGTCGTTGGCCGTTGTAACGGTCTTAGGAAGGGAGCGCAGGGATTGCAAGTCCCATCGTCCATGGTGCATCCTCCTTCAAACCGCACCTGGATGTAGAGTGCGTCACGGAGACTCGGCGTGCCAAGTTCGGTCTTTGTCGGTAATTGGACGAGCGTTGCGGCGGTCTCGGGAATTGCGCAAAAGTACCGCAAGTCCCACGATCCACGGTCTATCCCCCGCCAAACACACACCGGGACGTAAAGTGGGTCGTGAGAGGCCTACGTGGCAAGTTTGGTCCTGATCAGACATCGGGTGAGGTTAACCGCGGTCTCAGAATGGGAGTGATGGCACTGTAAGTCCCATCGTCCAAAGTCGATCCTCCTTCGAACTGCAGCAGGGTGCAGAGTGGGTCACGGGGGCTCTGTGTGCCAAGTTTGATCTCGATCGGACGTTAGATGAGGGTTGCGGCCCTCTTGGGAAGGGAGTGGAGGTACTTGAAATCCCATCATCCATAGTCTCCCTCAAACATTACCGGAATGCTGAGTTGGCCACGGGGGCTCTCTGTGCCAAGTTTGGTCTTTATTGGACGAATGTCACTGTGGTTTCAGGAAGTGAGTGAAGGTACTGCAAGTCCCATCATCCATTGTCCATCCTCCTCCAAACAGCACCAGGCTGTAGAGTCTCTCACGGGGGCTCTGCGTGCCAAGTGTGGCCTTGATCGGTCATTAGATGAGGGTTGCAGCAGTCTTGGGAAGTGTGTGGAGGTACTTGAAATCCCATCATCCATAGTCTGTTCTCCCCCAAACCTCACCAGAATGTTGAGTTGGCCATGGGGGTTCCGTGTGCCAAGTTTGGTCATTGGATGAGGGTCTCAGTAGTTTCACTAAGTGAGTGAAGGAACGGCAAGTCCCATCGTCCATGGTGCATCATCCTCCAAACCGCACCAGGATGTAGAGTGCGTCACGGAGACCCGGTGTGCCAAGTTTGGTCCTTACCGGAAATCGGATGATGGTTGCGGCGGTCTCGGGAATTGAGCGAAGATACCGCAAGTCCCATAATCCATGCTCGATCCACGGTCAAACCACACCATGGCGTAAAGTGGGTCGTGAGAGGTCTATGTGCCAAGTTTGGTGTTGTTCAGTCATTGTTGAGGGTCGCAGCAGTCTTGGAAAGCGAGTAGAGGTACTTCAAGTCCCATCATCCATGGTCTGCCCTACTCCAAACCGCAGTAGGATGTAGAGTGCGTCAGCTAGTCCAGCGCGCGGCAGCCGTGTTACTAACGGGAGCGGAACGCAGGGAGCATACGACGCCCTTGTTGTCCCAGCTCCACTGGCTGCCGATCTGCTACCGGGCCCAGTTTAAGGTGCTGGTGTTATCCTACAAAGCCCTAAACGGTTCCGGCCCTTTCGGACCGCATCTCGGCCTATGAGCCCACGAGGGCCTTGAGATCGTCTGGGGAGGCCCTTCTCTCGATCCCACCCGCCTCACAGGCACGTCTGGTGGGGACGAGAGAAAGGGCCTTCTCAGTGGTGGCCCCCCGGCTGTGGAACACCCTCCCTGTTGACATCAGACAGGCGCCCTCCCTTATGGCTTTCCGTAAGAGCCTAAAGACCTGGCTTTTTGAGAAGGCGTTTAACCGAGTGCTACATTAGCTGGTAATGACAACTGGAACGGAATATGGACTACGAGATTGGTTATGATTCTATGTCGTGACGATGCGGATTAGTTAGTGTAAGTTAGATTAGTGTGTAATATGATATGTTGATTTCTTGTTGTACTTTTGTAAACTGTTTTTATATGTTGTACACCGCCGCGAGTCGCCCTAGGGCTGAGAGCGGCGGTCAACAAACGCAGCAAATAAATAAATAAATAAATAAATAAATAGAGTGGGTCATGGGGGCCCTGTGTTCGGACATTAGATGAGGGTCGCAGCAGTCTCGGGAAGAGAGCGGAGGTACTTGAAGTCCTATCATCCATGGTCTGTCCTCCTCGAAAGTACACCAGGACTGACTCTGTGTGCCAAGTTTGGTCTTTGTCGGTAATTGGATGAGGGTTGCGGCGGTCTCAAGAATTGAGCAGAGGTACCGCAAGTCCCATAATCCACGGTCCATCCCCGGCCAAACCACACCAGGACATAAAGTGGGTCATGAGAGGTCTATGTGCCAAGTTTGGTCCTGATCAGTCATTGGATGAGGTTAACAGCGGTCTCAGAATGTGAGTGATGGTACTGCAAGTCCCATCATCCATGGTTGCAGTAGGATGTCGAGTCGGTCTTGCAGGCTCTGTGTGCCAAGTGTAGTCTGTACTGGTAATTGTCTGACTCGGCCCCCTCTGGCCTTTTCCTTTCCTCTCTCAGTCATCTCGGAATCTTGGAACTGAGGCTGGCCAATCGGAGACCGTATGCAAATTTCCTT